CTGTGGGCCAGGGCAGATGAAGGCCCGTTGCACGATCCTCAGACCTGTAATGGATCGCAAGAGCCATAAACACGCTATCCGCAAAAGCAGCGGAACTCTGCAATAAAGAAAGCTAAGAAATCTAGGATGCGGAGCAAGCTCCATGCAGAGTCCATGCGATGCATCCTAAGCTATATAATGTCAAAAGAAAAGCAAATGTCTGGTATACATATCCTAGCTAACAGCAGAAAATGAAATGTAGTATGATACACTCCTAAAGACCTGGAGGTAGTGGCCTCAGCGCTGAAAGGAGAAGAGCAATATGTCACAAGATAATGTCATGTCGTTGAACCACTAAAAGTGGGATGGTCTCAGAGGGGGTGAATGCGGCCTAAGAATCATAACTCCTAAGGGCAGTCACACATGAAGGTGGGATAGGTCATCAGGCTCAAGGTGGGAGAGTGGTAGCGAAACAAAACCAATGACCCTAACAGATAGACCATCAAGGCGGGTAATGCTCGACAAGGGTGACACCATGCAGGGTCGACCATGAAAAGGGGGAGCCTGGAATAGGGTGGAGATATGCCTAACTGAAGGCATGCAAGGGCCGACACTAGGGTGATGAGGGCAGTGGGTGAGGGAAACATGCACACAACTCACCGACTGGGGGAGGAAGGAGCTAGATCTGGGAGCAGGGAAGCCAAGATAACGCTACGGTCCCAATGCCTATGCGATACCAAGGGAGAGCCCAACTCAAAGAGACCCACCTAAGTGAGAACCATCATGCGACAGATGCAAGGGAATGTACAGGGTAGGGTGGTGGCGTGAAGTAGTCACGTCCAAARTAGCTRAAGCCGATAAGGTAGCTGAAGTCGTCGAATCGGTCGATGACGTCGATGAAGTAGCAGTCAAGTCGATGTCGAAGCAGAGCCGCAAAACGCTAACATCCTGAAGAAGAGCTGATGATGGAGTACCTGATGGTGTGAGTCAGTGGGGAAAGATGGAGGATAAGAGTGTCAGTCATCGTAACGTGAAGGGCGACGATGAGTGCGTTGTGGACGCTCGGAGGCGACCATCTGCAGCTGAGGAATGACCTCAGAGGGAGCGGGCTCATCCTCAGCGATCTCCTCAGCCGGAGGAGGAGGAGGAGGGTCAGTCGGCTGAGTAGAAGCAGATGTCCCAGCACGACGAGCACGATCATATGCACGCACCAACATCCTGGCGTGCTGCAAGTGCTCGAGGGGCTCCCAAGTAGCCTCCTCATCAGAGTAGCCCTTCCAACGCACAAGGTACTCGATGCGTGGAGGGATATCGTCGGTAACTCGGCGTGATACGATGTCGGAAACAACGAACTCCTCGTGACCGTCCACCATGATACGTGGAGGGCGCTCATAAGGGCGTCCGGCGAAGCGCTCGCACGGTCTGCGATAAGGACGCAGCAAGGAGACGTGGTAAACATCGTGTACGCGAGCCTGTCGAAGGTAATCAGGTAGCTTCACACGGAAGCTGACCGGACTAGCGGCAGTATCAGAGCCGACGGCCTCAAGGATGCGGCATGGACCGAAGAAACGACGCCTGAACTTGCGAAGCATATCTGCTTCGAGCTGTAAGTGGCATGCGTCGACGAGCACATCGTCACCGACTTTGAATGGATGATCCATTCGTGATCGGTTCGCTCGTGCGGCCATGCGAGTCTGGGAGTCGGCTAAACTCTCGTGTGCGCGCTTCATAATCGCCTCAATGTGGGTGATCCAGTCGTCAAGCGCAGGGCAACGAGTGTCTGGGCGCAACCGCGATGGTCGTAGGAAATCCGCAGGTACGCGAGGGTGGTAGCCGAGGTCGCAATAGAA